GCATTTAGACAAACCCATGAGAAAATAAATAAAACACGTGGTTTTTAAGTTTTAAGCTCAAAAGATTTTTTAGAACAAACTTTTTATAAACTTTATGCGCATTTGGGAATAATTAAATAATAATGACATTTCTACCGTGAACAAACACATTTGGGAATAATTTAATATTAATGACATTTCTACCGTGAACAAACACGACTTGAAAGCTTAGAATACATTTTAAGTGGGATAAAAAAAATCTGTCTCTAGGAGTTAGCAATCCGAAAGGTTTAACTTACGTTAAAAACTGATATAAATACGGAAAATTTCATTTTTAGAGCCTGACATAAAAATCTTATCGAAAAGATATCAGTCCTTATTATTTTTGAGTGTTTATTACAGAATACTAGTGTTCATGCAGTTTCTGATATGCGAGGTATAGGATAAAACGCATTCATGTATAATTACAGGATTCTCTTTTCTCCACGTTATACGCCTTTCCTCATGCCCATTTAAATTCTGCATAGCTAAGTATTAGGCGCTCATGAAACCCGTGATAATTCAAAATTATATATGTGTATAGTCCATACGATAAACACTTGTGTGAGTTGATCTATACACATGGAATTTAAGCATTATCGATGAAAATCGGACGGCAAAGCAAAATTATATTTACCATCATATAATATATTCTGATAAATGTTATAATTGAACTTGATAAAAACTTGCTGGTGCAATCTATACCTCTGTAAACGATTACATTCTATCGTGCATTATTTTTTTTCTTTACCGAGATAAAAATGTCAAGGTTGTTCATGGTAAAAATGTGAGGAATACCTTATTCTTCAAAAGTTTTCATCTTACTTCTACAGATGTTTTGTTAAAAAAATCTTTTTGAGGAAAAAAACAAAAGCACGTGTTATCTTTTTGTTCTTTTAAAGTATGTTTTGGGGTGTGTAAAAATGCTGTTGTCTGATTGGACAGAAAAATAATTACGTGTACTTGATGTACATTTATAGCAACTTTTGGTTATCGTTCTTGACTTCCATATTTAGAAATCGTCCAGACCTGTTAAATAACACATTTCAGAGAAGATAAAATCGTATTATTAGATGAAACGAGGTGTTCTCCATGCTGCGAATTGTATGAAAAGCTTTAATTTAAATGTATTAACTATATTTCTTTACTTAATTTTGTATGTTTCAAAAGTGTATTTTTTTAATCAATTACGCCATATAATTATGGTTTTAAATGGAAAAAACACTACATAATATTGCATGACACTTATCATTGAGCTGATTGAGTGAATGTATTTAATTTAATAATGAGATATCTGTGAGGCATATATGTACATGCAAATATTGCTATATTAAACAAAGGAAAGGGGGGAATTCAAATTAGGGAAAAAAGCGTAAATCAGTCTGGTAGTACTGCAAAATGGATGCAGTTGTGGAGATTTGTGGATAAAGGAGCATGCTGTCTGGAATATTTCCATATAGGGAATTTAAGAGCAAAAAAGAGTGAAAATACGGGTGGTGCTTTTCATTGTATTACATGTGTATTTTAAAATTCCTAATAGCCCAAGGAGATTGCTCAGTGCAGTAAACCACTAGCCCCATCCTCAAGAATGGAAGCCCCGGGTGTCGTGCGATGCTAATTACACACCCATCATGTGAAATAGTTATAGTAGCCCTATATTAATTTCAGTATTGTTTTGAATTAATTAAAACAAATGCCAAAAACAATAATTAAAAAAAAATCAAAATAAATCAGACACTCAAATTCAAAATCAAAGACAGAAAGAAGCACTGTTTTGACTGAACGTTTTTCAGTAATACAATGCATCTCTTACATATCAGATGAGATGAACTTACATACAATTATTTAGTTGTTGTCAATTATCCCATTTATCATCATCTCAGCTCACTTTGCGCTTTTAATACTGATTACATGAAACGATATTTTACAGCTGATTTATGAACACACGATTGTTAAAATTTTCATTTCCCTTTCCAATATATTGTCAGAACATACTTAGTTGGTTATGATATAAACTTAAATAATTAACACTTTCGATTTATTAAAGATTATCTAACAATATACGATCATTTACTAAATACTTCTCGAGAGAGTTAAAAAGACAGAGAAAATTCAAAATACATACAAGTGCAACTTAGGATTAATTGTTCCGATATATCTATTTTAATTCTATTTGTTCTCAAAATTACATTAAAATCAATTTTTCTTAAACAAAAACCCAGCAATAGATAAATATTAATCGAATAAACTTACCTTTCCTCTTGTCAATCAGACAATCTTGTTGACATTAAATGTTTCTTAATAGCCATATTTTTTTCCATGAAAACAAACGTTGTTATGATCAGGATGAACGGAAGTTGATTTTCGGAACTCTCGATAATTTTAGAGTTCCGAATGTAAAACTGAAACACAAAACACGGTGCGTCCGTGAAAGCGACTTTTTTGGACACTTTTTTGGACAAATCGTCGTGTCCAAGTTTTGTTGGGTACTAACCTGCAAATACCCAATTAGGGTGTTTTAAGCACATTCAGCGACACTTCTTATTGGGTATACCCAATAAGCAAAAAGTACCCAATAAGTACAATCTTGGCATGAAAAATACCCAATAAATGCACTCTCGTAAACACGGACGGACGTACAGACGGACGGACGGAATTAACGATTACTATATACCCTCCCGCTTTTCAAGCGGGGGGTATAATAACTAGAGGATATCAAACTTATACAGTGGATTCCATTTAATCAGATAGTGGTTAAACGAATATTTCGGCTTATCTGATACAATATCAGAGCACAAAACCATATCTTATATATTTATTAATAATTTCATCTGATATTCTGATAGGAAAATATGGGATTTTTGTTTTATCTGATACAAAAATTTCGCCTATCATAGTGATTTTCATAATAATTGTCTTGTTCACACCTCTACCTTCTGTATGTAAATCCTTTGTTTACACAAGTTTGACACTTCCAGACACGATAATGATAATGAACAAAAATTGTGAATTTCGTGGTCCCCGCCCCCCTGGGGCCTGGGGGGTGGGGCAAAAATCACTAAAAATAGTGCAATCTTTAAAAAATCTTCTTCTTTACTCCTGGACATCAAGCAGTCAAACTGTTGGTATGATTGTAATCAGCATTGAGTCCTCTACCAAAATTGTGAAATTCATGACCCCAGGGTCAGGGGTTCTGGTGTTAGGGCAGGGCTCTATTGATTATATAGTGAAAATGCAGCAAGTTTTTAAAAATCTTCTTCTCTGCTCCTGGGTATTAAATAAACAAATTAAGTTCATAGTTATGATGAGCAAGAGTGGCTCTACCAAATTTGTGAATTTTATGGCCCCAGGGTCAGGGGTTCTGGTGTTAGGGCGGGGCTCTATTGATTATGTAGTGAAAATGCATTATTTCTTTGAAATCTCTTTCTCTGTTCCTGAGTATTAAATAAACTAATTAAGCACATAGTTATGATGAGCAAGAGTGTCTCTTCATAAATTGTGAATTTTATGGCCCCAGGGTCAGGGGTTTTGGTGTTAGGGAAGGGCTCTATATTGATTATATAATGAAAATGCATTAAATCTTTGAAAATCTTCTTCTCTGCTCCTAGGTATTAAATACACTAATTCAGTGAATAATTATTATGAGCAAGAGTGCCTCTACCAAAATTGTGAAATTCATGGCCCCAGGGTCAGGGGTTCTGGTGTTAGGGCAGGGCTCTATTGTTTATATAGTGAAAATGTATTAAATCTTTGAAAATCAACTTCTCTGCTCCTAGGTTTTAAATAAACTAACTAAGTAAATAGTTATGATGAACAAGAGTGCCTCTACCAAAATTGTGAAACTCATGGCCCCTGCAGGGTCAGGTGTTCTGGTGTTAGGGCGGGGCTCTATTGATTATATAGTGAAAATGCATTAAATCTTTGAAAATCTTCTTCTCTTCTCCTATGTTTTAAATAAACTAACTAAGTACATAGTTATGATGAGCAAGAGTGCCTCTACCAAAATTGTGAATTTTATGGCCCCAGGGTCAGGGGTTCTGGTGTTAGGGCGGGGCTCTATTGATTATATAGTGAAAATGCATTATTTCTTTGAAAATCTTCTTCTCTGCTCCTAGGTATTAAATACACTAATTCAGTAAATAATTATTATGAGCAAGAGTGCCTCTATCAAAATTGTGCAACTCATGGCCCCAGGGTCAGGGGTTCTGGTGTTAGGGCAGGGCTCTATTGTTTATATAGTGAAAATGTATTAAATCTTTGAAAATCTTCTTCTCTGCTCCTAGGTTTTAAATAAACTAACTAAGTAAATAGTTATGATGAACAAGAGTGCCTCTACCAAAATTGTGAAACTCATGGCCCCAGGGTCAGGGGTTCTGGTGTTAGGGCGGGGCTCTATTGATTATAAAGTGAAAATGCATTAAATCTTTGAAAATCTTCTTCTCTGCTCCTAGATTTTAAATAAACTAACTAAGTACATAGTTATGATGAGCAAGAGTGCCTCTTCCAAAATTGTGAATTTTATGGCCCCAGGGTCAGGGGTTCTGGTGTTAGGGCAGGGCTCTATTGTTTATAATGTGAAAATGCATTAAATCTTTAAAAATCTTCTTCTCTGCTCCTATGTTTTAAATAAACTAACTAAGTACATAGTTATGGTGAGCAAGAGTGCCTCTTCCAAAATTGTGAATGCCTTAGCATCTACCTTAAAACATGAAACAAATTCAATCATTTGAAAGTTGTTGCATGATGCTCAGGTGACCTATAAGGCCCGTGGGCCTCTTGTTATTTGTAAGTGTGAGCAGTGACAAGGATCCTGTTTGGGAGAAGAGCAAAAAGGAGTAAAAATGAATGTAATCTTTAAAAGAAAATTATTAATCAAAAATATTTGTTTATTTCCTCTATTTAGGGACTTTTTAGTCTGATGTTCATAAACCTAAAATAAAAAAAAAATGTTGGCCTTCAGATCATAAAGTTTTTACTTGCAGACCTGGTGAATGTAATAAAAGAAATCAAGTAGTTGGAGGTGTTCCCACTTCAAGTGTACCAGACTTGAGATTTTTTACCAATGAAACATGTCCATTGTCACTGGGAGTTATTGGCGTAGCAGAGGTAAATACTATATAACGGGTAATGTTTACTGCTGTAAATTTTTATGAATTTTATAAAAAAAGGGTGATTTAATTTAAATTTTTACGCGCTGATTTTTAGCTCTACTGGTCAGAGACCAGAAGAGCTTATGTGATGGTAATGCGTCCGTCGTCCGTCCGTATGTCTGTAAACAATTTTTCAAAATGCTACTCCTCCTACAGTTTTGGTCTGATTTCAATATAACTTGGCACACAAGTAGACTACACTAAGATACATAATTCTGTGTATCGGTTTTTGATTTTGATGAACGGTGTTGCCGTGGTTACTAAAAATAGAAATTTCTGTGAAATTCTTTCAAAATGCTACTCCTCCTACAGTTTTGATCTGATTTCAATAAAACTTTGCACACAAATAGACTACACTAAGATACATAATTTTATGCATCTGTTTTTGATTTCGATGAACGATGTTGCAGTGGTTACTAAAAATAGAAATTTCCGTGAAATTGTTTCAAAATGCTACTCCTCCTACAGTTTTGGTCTGATTTCAGTATAACTTGGCCAACAAGTAGAATACACTAAGATACATAATTCTGTATATCGGTTTTTGATTTCGATGAACGGTGTTGTCGTGGTTACTAAAAATAGAAATTTCTGTGAAAATCTTTCAAAATGCTACTCCTCTTACAGTTTTGATCTGATTTCAATATAACTTGGCACACAAGTAGACTACACTAAGATACATAATTCTGTTTATCATTTTTGATTTCGATGAATGGTGTTGCCGTGGTTACTAAAAATAGAAATTTCTGTTAAATACTCTCAAAATGCTACTCCAAATAATTGTTTTAGTCTGGTTATAATATAATGTGGCATGCAAGTAGACTACCCTAAGAACATAAAGAGACTTAATCAAGGATCATTATTCTATTTATTGCTGTTGAAAAGTTTCAATTTCTACTGCTTAAGTACTTTTCTCTTCCTTTGCTTTAAGTACAAACCAATAGAGCTTCAGTCTCAACAGAGACTTCTGGTTTACAAATTGAACTTCTCCGTAAAAATTAAAATCATCAGATTAAAATTCCATATCACGTACTGTTAGCCAAAGAGAGAAAGAGAAAGATATTTATTAAATGATTACAATATAAACTAGAGGTACTGTGAGCGATGAGCTCACTAAATGATACCCCCCGCCTCCCGTATGGTTATAACTGGTGAAAAAGTCCATGTATTCCTGTGGCCCGGAAACCCAAAATATGTGTCGGATCAAAAAGTAAAATAGGAGGTGCACAATGGCAATATGTAATAAAGATTCTGTGAAAGTTTCATCAAATTTCATTCAGTGGTGTGAGAGGAGTTGCGGATAAGAGATGGGTACCCCAAAGCGTAACAGACGGACGGACGGACAGACGGAAGGACGGACGGACAGACAGACGGACGGACAGACGTACAGACGGACGGAATTAACGATTACTATATACCCTCCCGCTTTTCAAGCGGGGGGTATAACAATGCCATAAATTACACTATGTATAATTATACCCCACGCAACTAGTTGCGGGAGGTATAATGTTTTTGACTGGTCCGTCAGTCAGTCAGTCAGTCAGTCAGTCAGTCCTCTTTTTTTGTCAGCGCAACTCCTCATAAACCGCTGCACAGAATTTCGTCATACTTTGCAGGTATTTAGGACACAATGTGTAGATGTGCATATTACCAGGAAATTCACATTCCTTTATTTTTTCCGGGAATTTCCGCACTTTTAACTTAGGCATTTGGCCATACCTTGAATATAGAGATGAACAGTTTGTCAGTGCAACTCCTCATAAACCGCTGCACAGAATTTCGTTAATTTTGCAGATATTTAGGACACAATGGGTAGATGTGCATATTACCAGGAATTTCCGATTCCTTAATTTTTCCGGGAATTTCTACACTTTCCAACTTAGACTTTTTGGCCATATTTTGAATATAGAGATGAACAGTTTGTCAGCACCACCCCTCTTAAACATGTTGTACATAGTTTCGTCAACCTATCCTGTTATTTAGGACTTATTCCATTATTTTATCCCAAAGAGTTTTGCCTATAATTCAAGAAAATTTCTCCCCCCCACCCAACTTCAAATGAATGTGTGGATTTGTATATTGTCAAGAAATTTTTATTCCACGCCCTCATTCAAGGGGAGACAATTGGCAATTAATGAAAATTTGGTGGCATGTTTTTTAAAAATCTTCTTCTCAAGAACCACTGTGGCAGCAAAGATGGAACTTAGAGGGAATCATCCTCAGGTAGTGTAGATTCAAGTTTGTTCAAATCATGACCCCCAGGGGTAGGGCGGGGCCAAAATAGCCGACCAAAGTTTTACATAGAATTATATAAGAATATTCTTTAAAAATCTTCTTCTCAAGAATAACTAAGTCATAATTCATCATATTTATATGGAAGCATCCTCAAGTAGTGCAGATTCACCAAAATATTATTAAAATTTTTTTTGAAAATGCAAAATTTTGATATCTTTTAAGAGGGCAAGCAACTTCCAGTAATGGATAGAAAATTAGAAATTCATTTATCTATGATTAAAAAACTGATTTGGCAAAGGAAAAGATTTCCTAACTTTTTTGGTCCATAGTTATAACCTGTATATAATTTTCAACCTTAATTTAGAATGTTGCATTTCTATTGACTTTGAGTATAGAAATATATAGAAAAAATCTTTAAAAATCTTCTCATCAAGAATAGCAAAGCCATAATTGATCATATTTATATGGAAGCATCCTCAGGTAGTGTAGATTCAAGTTTGTTCAAATCATGACCCCAGGGGAAGGGCCGGGCCACAATGGCCGACCAAAAATTTACATAGAAATATATATAAAGCCATATGAATTGAATTTGCATTATGCATGTTTTCCTTCAAGTATTACTACCAAATATGTTAGGGAATCAAATATTGCAAAACATAACTTCAATATTTGAGGTTTTATTGTGAATTGAATTATATATACAATTCCATGAACAAAAAAAAGTCAGTTCAATATATCAAATTTTGAGATCTTTGAAAGTTCATTATAAAGGATATTAATTTCATCATATTTAACTTCAACAGGACCGATAATCAGTTTGCTATATCCGTAAATTCGTTATGTCAGAGTTCCTTATAACCATAAAATTTTACAAGGATTTGTTAAGAATTTTGCCAGGGACCCAGAAAAACTTTGCTATATCCATGAATTCCCTATATCTGTGTTTGCACTAAACGAGTTTTACTGTATTTTAAAATTGTATTGATGTTTGCACAAAATTTCTTATTTAACCCAAGCTCTCCCTCCCCCTTTGTTTTTATAAAAGACACACTTTTAATAATTGTTTACCAGTCAAAGATCATTGACAGACACACAGAAATGGCGCCAATTATGGAGTACAAGTACTTCCACTATGTAAAGAAAGAACAAATAAGAGCATTTGATATCCTGCATTTAGATAAAATGTGCAGCTAATAAATCAATCTTGATAAACAAAATGAATTTGATTATATTCTAAATGAGCTAGTGCAAAGATCAGAAAAAGGAAAGATGATTTATTTAAATTAATTTTGATTTTTTTTTCATAATAATTCATGCATGATTAATATTGATAGCAAGAACTTTTATGTTTTTTGTGTAAAAAGAAAAAGTAAAAATCTTTATTTGGATATTTTTGGATGCGCGTACAGATTCAATTTTTATAATTTGGATTTGTTGAAAATAGAAAGGACAAATCAAACAAACTACGAGGGTTGATTCAAAAGTAATGTCACTGTGTCAATATCTTTAATATTTGGCGTCATATTATCAAATATAATGCACCAAAAGATGCATGAAAATAAAATTTGATCAAAATTTGAAATTTTCATTGAATAATGTTTAATTAAATCAATTTTATAGACGTTTAAAATATTAAACATAAGATGTGTGGCCGCGTCACAACTCAACGTCACGTTTTAAAGTGTAAATTGTTAAAATGAGAAAAGAAAAACATTTAAAAGCAACTTATAAAGCTTCTAATCACCCAATATTTTAAAAGACAAAACTTTTCGACATTTTCTGGTCTTAAGTTGAAAATAAAATGACGTCATTGCTTTTTGATCATAAACATTGCTGTTTTAATCTGCTGGATTGAATAAAGGAAATGTCAAAATGGGGGATAATCGCTGAAACAAGCTGTGATGCATTTTTGATACAAAATGGGGAAATCGTTCATAGAAACAGTTACGAAGATTTATCAGACATAAAGAAGAGAGACTTGTTTACAGATGGTTTCAGCAATTTTTAGCGAGTCATGGGTCACTAGCTGGATGATCAGCAAAGGACAGAAATACCTAAAAAGGGAGGTTTGGCACAAACGTTTAATGGTGTCTTACGTTGTCCAAAAAGAGAGACGATTAGACAGTTACAGGGATATAAGAAACTTTGAGTTTGTCTTATGGTACTATTAAAAAAAATTTGACAGAGGACTAAATTATATGTAGTGTGAGTGTATAATGGGTGCCAATAATTCTTATAAAAAGAGAAATATACATGATTGTGTTCGTAAATCTCAAATATTTATTAAAGAAACGAAGGGGAAGCGTTCAAGTGTGTGACGGTGCGTATCCGTCATATGACGTTATTTAGGTGCGGCGACTACCGTAATTGCACTTTGTATATGATTCCATATTTTAAAAAGTGTGAATCATTTTAATTTGAATTTTTCAGGACTGATTTGTAATAAATATAGCTTCAATCATGTATAATTTCGTTGATTTATGTTGAACAGTAGCAATTTTATCGAAGTAGTGACATTACTTTTGGATCAACCCTCATATATTAGATATTGGTATGGCCTCTGAAAAAAAGGTAGAAAAGCCTCATGTAATTTTTACCATTTTAACTCTGCATTTCAGGTAAAGCTTCGAATCATGCCATTTGATTCAGAATTTTTCAGCATAGAGAATCTACCTGTTGACACTTTAGGACAACACGCTGGTGAGCTCTTGCTTGAATATGAATATTCAATATTTGAAGAGGCAGTCTTCGGAATACTTTGCTTTAGGACAAAGGTAATGAGGGAGAGCATACCATATTGCTCTGCTGCTGTTTGTTGGTTAGGCGACCATAATTTGATTTTTAGCTCTACTGGTCAGAGACCAGAAGAGCTTATGCGATAGTAATGCGTCCGTCGTCCGTCCGTCTGTCTGTCCGTCTGTCCAGCTGTCCATCTGTCTGTCTGTCTGTAAACAATCTTTCAAAATGCTACTCCTCCTACAGTTTTGTTCTGATTTCAATATAACTTGGCACACAAGTAGACTACACTAAGATACATAATTCTGTGTATCGGTTTCTGATTTCGATGAACGGTGTTGCCGTTATTACTAAAAATAGAAATTTCTGTGAAATTCTTTCAAAATGCTACTCCTCCTACAGTTTTGGTCTGATTTCAATATAACTTAGCACACAAGTAGACCACACTAAGATACATAATTCTGTGTATTGGTTTTTGATTTCGATGAACGGTGTTGCCGTTGTAAGTTACTAAAAATAGAAATTTCTGTGAAATTCTTTCAAAATGCTACTTCTCCTACAGTTTTGGTCTGATTTCAATATTACTTGGCACACAAGTAGACTACACTAAGATACATAATTCTGTGTATCGGTTTCTGATTTCGATGAACGATGTTGCCGTTGTTACTAAAAATAGAAATTTCTGTGAAATTCTTTCAAAATGCTACTCCTCCTACAGTTTTGGTCTGATTTCAATATAACTTGGCACACAAGTAGACTACACTAAGATACATAATTCTGTGTATCGGTTTCTGATTTCGATGAAAGGTGTTGCCGTTGTTACTAAAAATAGAAATTTCTGTGAAATTCTTTCAAAATGCTACTCCTCCTACAGTTTTGGTCTGATTTCAATATAACTTGGCATACAAGTAGACTACACTAAGATACATAATTCTGTGTATCGGTTTTTGATTTCGATGAACGTTGTTGCCGTGGTTACTAAAAATAGAAATTTCTGTGAAATTCTTTCAAAATACTACTCCTTCTACATTTTGGTCTGATTTCAATATAACTTAGCACACAAGTAGACCACACTAAGATACATAATTCTGTATATCGGTTTTTGATTTCGATGAACGATGTTGCCATTGTTACTAAAAATAGAAATTTCTATGAAATTCTTTAAAAATGCTACTCCTCCTGCAGTTTAAGTCTGATTATAATATAATGTGGCATGCAAGTAGACTATACTAAGAACATAAAGAGACTTAATCAAGGATCATTATTCTTTTTATTTCTGTGGTAAAGTTTTAATTCCCAACTGCTTAAGAACTTTTCCCTTCCATTGCTATAAGAACAAACCAGTAGAGCTTCAGTCTCGACAGAGACTTCTGGTTAGTTTTACAGATTATTTTCAAGAAAGGTCAAGTCGGAGGAAGAAAAAAAAGAAAAAAAGACACAAATCATACCTGTCAACTTTTCTGATTTTTTTTTAAGAGGGAGGGGGGGGGGGGGGAGAAAGCTAGAAACGACCTTTTTCACATATAAAAAGTCACACATTTCACTGTAGTAGTATAAAACAAAACAAAAAACAACTAACAAGATAATTTTTTTTAATATTAATACACATTACATGTATAAATGTAGTTAGGCCATAAATGTTACCGCCTCATCATTTTAGGTGTGGGTAGGTAGGTAAGCTTTCTTTTTTTTTTTTGGAGACAAAAAATCAGAATTAAATTTTGATTGTATAGAGGTATTTACTATGTCTTAGATTTCACTTTAAGTTACTAATCAAACAAGAAAACTAAAGCATTCTTAATGAATCCAATATTTTATTGTTCAAATATCAGAATACATCAGTTCTTTTTTAAAAACAGCGTCTACAGGTGCAATGGGGATGTAAAAAAATGTCAATAGGATAAAATTAGAAAATGGATATTTAAAAAAATAAAATGCTACTCCTCCTACAGTTTTGGTCTAATTTCAAAATAACTTGGCACACAAATAGACTACACTAAGATACATAATTTTATGCATCTGTTTTTGATTTCGATGAACGGTGTTGCAGTGGTTACTAAAAATAGAAATTTCCGTGAAATTGTTTCAAAATGCTACTCCTCCTACAGTTTTGGTCTGATTTCAGTATAACTTGGCCAACAAGTAGAATACACTAAGATACATAATTCTATATATCGGTTTTCGATTTCGATGAATGGTGCTGTCGTGGTTACTTAAAATAGAAATATCTGTAAAATAGTTTGAAATTGCTACTCTTCCTACAGTTTTGGTCTGATTTCAATATAATTTGGCACACAAGTAGAATACACTAAGATACATAATTCTGTGTATCCAATTATAATTTTGATGAACGGTGTTGCCGTGTTAACTAAAAATAGAAATGTCTGTCAAATTGTTTCAATGCTACTCCTCCTACAGTTTTGGTCTGATTTCAGTATAACTTGGCACACAAGTAGACTTCACTAAGAACATAAAGAGACTTTATCAATGAGCATTATTGTATTTGATGCTGTTTATAAAGTTTCAAATCCCAGCTGCTTAAGTACTTTCTCTTCCTCTGCTATAAGTTCAAACTAGTAGAGCTTCAGTCTTGACAGAGACTTCTGGTTTAAATTATTTTATTTTCTTCTTTATGATAACGTTGGTATTCTATTATGGCAGAGATATACAATTATGACTCGCTTATACTGTACTCTCTAACTGTTAGGAATAATTTATATTTCATGTGAAAGGGACGCCATACATTTTTCAGTAAAAATACATAACACGGCGTTATTCATTTAATTTCTTTAAAATTTCACGTTTTTGTGAATAGTGCACAAATTAGAAAATTAAGTATATGGAATACTTAAATGGGAAATAAAGACAAACGAAGTGTAGTTATTTGTTTTTAGAAATTATATTGAAAAATAATAACGCCATTGTGTCCTCTTTGTTACCCTAGCAGTGTTTGTTGTTTGATTTTAAACTTATTTGACAACTGTATGAATTAGGTTTAATAAAAATAAATCCACAAGATACTGATGTACAAGTAACAGTTACTGGCATAATGCATCGTTGTTTATTCTTTAGTTTTTATAGAAAGTTGCACGGAATACCCGATTTCGCGGATTCAACGATACCCTAATATCGAATATAATATATGCGATTTTAACAAATAATACCTCATTTAGAGTATTCTCTTCGACCTGTTTCAACTGAATCAACAGTTTTTGACCTTGGCAATTCCTTTGAGCTTGACCTCACTTTAATGAAATTAGTGTCAAACTTCATGTGCTGATACATACTATAATGTAAGCAATTCAACTGCATCACTATTTAAGATACTCTGATCAAATTTTATACACATACAAATTTTGATGTTGCTTTAAATTACTAATATACTACGAGCGGGGCATAAATGGACATATTTATATTTAATATCTTTTGTTTCACTGGGACTATAGAGTTAAATATTGGCATACATCATGATCAACATTTAAAGCTCACCTGAGCCGAAGGTTCAAGTGAGATTTTCTGATCAAAATTTGTCCGTCCTCTGTCGTTGTCGTCGTTGTTGATGTCGGAAACTTTAAACATTTTCATCTTCTTCTCAAGAACCACTGGGCCAATTTCAACCAAACTTGGCACAAAGTAGCTTTAGGTGAAGGGGTTTCAAGTTTGTCCAAATGAAGGCCCACACCGTTTTCCAAGGGGAGATAATCATAAATTTGTTAAAAATTAATGGCATTTTTAGCTCACCTAAGCCGAAGGCTCAAGTGAGCTTTTCTGATCACATTGTGTCCGTCGTCCGTCCGTCCGTCTGTCTGTCCGTCCGTAAACTTTTCACATTTTGAACTTCTTCTCAAGAACCTCTGGGCCAATTTTGACCAAATTTGGTACAAAGCATGCTTGGGTAAAGGGGAATTTAAATTGTTAAAATGAAGGGCCAAATTCCTTCACAAGGGGAGATAATCAAGAAAAGACAAAAATAGGATGGGGTCATTAAAAAATCTCCTTCTCAAGAACCACTGGGCCAGAAAAGCTGAAACTTATGTGGAAGCATCCTGGGGTTGTGTAGATTCTAAATTGTTCAAATCATGACCCACGGGGATTAGGCGGGGCCACAATTGGGAATCAAAGTTTTACTTAGAAATATATAGGAAAAATCTTTAAAATCTTCTTCTCAAGACCCACTGTGCCGGAAAAGCTGAAACTTAAGTGAAAGCATCCTTGGGTATTGTAGATTCTAAATGGTTCAAATCATGCCCCCTGGGGTAGGGTGGGGCCACAATGGGGAATCAAAGTTTTACATAGAAATATATAGGAAAAATCTTTGAAAATCTTCTTCTCACGAACCACTGGGCCAGAAAAGCTTAAACTTATGTGAAAGCATCCTGGGTTATTGTAGATTTTAAATTGTTCAAATCATGCCCCCCGGGGTAGGGTGGGGCCACGTACAATGTGGAATCAAAGTTTTTCATAGAAATATATAGGAAAAATCTTTGAAAATCTTCTCAAGAACCAGTGGGCCAGAAAAGCTGAAACTTATGTGGAAGCATCCTGTGGTAGTGTAGATTTCAAATTGTCTAAATTATGATCAGTGGGGTAGAAGGGAGGGGATGTTCACAATATGTATTACAAGGGGGAAATCTAGTAAAGAACAGAATGGTCAAAGCTTCTCAGGTGAGCAATGTGGCCCATGGGCCTCATGTTAAAATATCTTCTTCTCCAGAACCGATGGGCCAGGAAAGATGAAACTCCTTTGGAATCATTCTCAGGTAGTGTAGATTCAAGTTTGTTCAAATCATGACTCCTGGTTCAAGGGTGGGGCCAAAATGGCCGACCCTAGTTTTACATAGGAATCTTCTTCTCCAGAACCACTTGGCCAGGAAAGATGAAACTCATGTGGAATCATCCTCAGGTAGTGTAGATTCAAGTTTGTTCAAATCATGACCCCCGTGGCTAGGGTGGGGCCAAAATGGCCGACCCAAGTTTTACATAGGGATTTATAGTGAAACCTTTTAAAGTCTTCTTTTCGAGTACTTCAAAACTATGATCGGTGATATTTATATGGAATCATCCTAAGGTAGTGTAGATTCAAGTTTGTTCGAATGATAAACGCCTGGAGTGGGGGGGGGGGGGGTTAAATTCCAGCCTGATGTGCCCAGGTGAGCACTGTGGCCCCTGGGCCTCTTGTTTGAATGATGTTTACGAATTTGTTCTAAAAACAGTGCCTTTATACATATTCATTTTTAAACAACATTCGGCAATGTATTTAATTTTGTTTTAGTTACAAAGTTATACATCTCAAATTCTAATGCTACTAAAGATTTTGGAGTTAATTCTTTCAAAAGACAATATCTCATTCCCGATCATAATCGTACCGTATTGATTTATTTAACAGCTGTCTTCACGTAGGCTTACATGTATGATGTTTCACTCTTGCCTTTTCAGTTCATCTTATATATTTATGTAAGCTAGTCTCTTCTATCAGTAAGCAGTCATGTCACCCGGAAACCTCTGCAACTATATATAAATCTGTTCTCCATAGTAATGTTTATGTTTTTTCATCGTTTACAGTTATCTTTTTCTCTGTTTATAGGAGTAATATCCCGCGTTGCTTGACAATTTGGTGCTCCACATAACTGCTTAATGTCGCTATTTTTGACAATGTCTATAATTCAAAGCGCTTTCAAATTGATATATATTGTCAAATATGTGTTATTTATGATGTGAAATAAATAGAATGAGTATTTATGTAAGTAAAATTTTTGACATAATATTGCCATATAACCTGATAACAACGAAAACCTCAATCCCAATGTTATTTGTAAAAAAAAAATTGTTGTGCATCGACCACCAATATTTAACATATATTTAACATATTTAAAATATTTCACACCAGGCTGTCCTAAAAAAAATGTTTGTTTTGAATTGCCGCCTGAAGGGTTTCAGACACAGGAGGGAGGGAAGGAAAATATTTTTTTTTAATTGAAAATAAATTAAAATTTTTTTATAAAAATCTTAGTTAACATTAAATACATTTTCTGACTTAAAAAAAAAGTATCTACCACCAACAGAAAACCCTAATTTTACATAGATCTGACATTATATTTCAGTGTTTTGTATGGTGCGTGTGATACATGTCATGGGCAAAAAATTTATTGAATTAAAAAAATCTTCCTACTTTTGGTCAATAATTTTTTTTTTTGAGGGGGCAATTCAATGAGGCGGGAGGCAATTCCAAACAAAGTATAATTTTATTTTGGCCTCATTTAAATGGTGTTTTTTGACATCACAGGCCTATACTATTCTGATACAAAATTTAAAAGATGATTTCGAAACAACATGCCAAAAACTATTAGTTTTGGTTGTATAATATTTGAAATACCATATAAGTAGAATATTTAGCGAGGATTTAATTTTGGCATTATTAGCGAGGGTGCCGATATCGCTAAAATTGAATATCGCTATAAATTAATTGCGTTTTATTCGTATTAGCTTCTTTAATCTACATTTTAAAATCGCTAAAATAACATTTCGCTAAAAATAAATTACCAATTTTAAAGGACAAATCACTAAATTTGCGCCTCGCTAAAATTTCCACTTATACACCATATACGGTATTCAAAAACCTAGCGTTTTTCTGGGACAACCCTATAGTTACATGTATGATTAGCAATGGTCCCTCTTTCAAAATTGTGAGTGCCATAGAATCTAGCTTAAAACATGAGCCGAATTCTAGCATTTTAATGTTGTTGCCTGATGCTCAAGTGACCTTTAAGGCCCATGGGCCTTTTGTCACATTTGAATATTTGAAAAAATCTTCTTAAAAACCAGTAAGCAAGAAAAGCTGTAAGTTATGTGAATTCATCCTAAGTAATTTAAGATTCTGAAAGATTATAAATACATGTAACAGTAGGGCCTTAGTTGAGCATTGGAGCACATATATCTCTTTTTAGTCAAGGAATCAAATGAATTTTCTTTTTATTCAGGTAATATTTACATTCCTGAAAATGAGAGATGAACACTTTCAAAAGATTCTTCATCATAAAGATCAAAGTGACTTGGGTATTAGAAGTGTCATATATTACACAAAACCTTATGACTACCTTATTGAAGACCAGAGGGAAAACATTCTTGAGGTTCTCTTTTGGCTGGGTATGCAAACATTTTGGTAGTTGTTTGTTTATTTAGCACATATTTTGTAGGGCTGTCACGGTTTTATAATTTTCGGGTCAGGTCAGTTCTAACTTTTTTTAATTCGCTTTCAGGTGTCTTGATTCAGGTTTAGAATAAAAAGTCACAATTTGAATTATGTTCAACAATTTTTAAAAAAATTTTTAATCTAAAAACAGCAACATAATGACTGGTTTAATGAAGCTTCCTAACTAGAAAGATAATTGAACTAAAGTGATTCAAATCACAATTTGACATTATAATGGTAATTAAAAAACCTTTCGTTTTAGACACCATTTTAATGGCAAAACCTACAGTATTGTACAAATCAGAACTGAACCGGATTCTGGAAAAACAGAACAGAACCTGACCCGAATTGTTCTGTTCCGCGTTATTTCAGGTGCCCGTGACAGCCCCAATATTTTGTGTTCATTTCAATTTAAAGACAACATATTATACATTTTAAAGTGGTTATTTATCAGTTCAAATTTTAATATTTTATGCCTAAGAATTCACTTACAAGTTTAGAATGAGGTAAATATGTTACTGTCACAAAGTTTTGCACACAATGAAAATAGTCACCGAGACTCATGCAAGAATAAGTTGAAGGCCATGCATGCAGGTGATTTCTAGAGTTTATAATCATAGATGAAGAATTTTTGTATGCACCCGAAAGATATAAAAATATACAAACACTGAGAAGTGGGATATGCACTGTAGTATTGCAATTTTCAAATAGGAGAACAATTTAAAACTGTGTACTATTTATTTAGATCTTATTTTAATGTAAATATGTATCAAGTTTGATGTAGTTTATAAGAAGTGAGATGTTTTTTTTTACATGCTAATGAACACTGTTTACTTGAATATATTTTTAAATTCATGTAGTAGTCTAAGATAAAATTTTTCATTTGTTTATATACATTTCATGACAAAAATGTGATAGTACATGTATAAAATTCATACATTTTTTTCTTTCTTTTGTTAAAAAATGTAATGAGATTTGTTTTATTATTTTGATTTAATGTTTTTGAAAGAAACTGGTTGATAATCTACAGCTGGTATGTTGCATACTGATAGATCTCAAATTTTATGCTCCAACAGCTAGGCACTGTATATTTATATGAATTTTATAGACATTGAAATGATTTTCATGCTGTGATAAATCTGATTTAACTTATTAGCTCAATGTTTTCTAATTTAATGAAATGTTTGAGTTGTAAAATTTTTAACAATATGGTATAACGACAGATTAATTTGTATATTTTGAAATTTAAAAATTGGATAATTTTTTAAAAATTTAATAATGTAATTGTTTGTGCAAAAATGCATTTTACAATTGCTTTAGTAATGATTTTGCTTTTTGCATTTGTAAATGACTGCTTTTTATGCAATGTTACAAGCTTTAGCTCACAATTATGGGAGGTTTCATGAGTATTCATTTTGTTCACCTGTTGTTTAATTGTCATCAGTCTGTCTATACTAGTACATGTACTATAATTGTCAGTTTTTGAAATTTTTTTCTCTGTATGCTGCATGTGAGTAATAAATTGATTTGGTTAGTAATTATTTTTAACCTTACTGATTGAAATTTGTACAGTTACAATCAAAAGTGTATAATTTTATTTCAAAAGTGTCTGAAGAAGAAGTTACCTCATGTTAAATTGATGGTTATGTGAGGATACCCGTGTCATCTGTGTTTGAAATGAGGGGTTAGACAGATTTATTCTTGCATTGAAACATGACACACATGTTGTCATTCTGACCATTTTTATTCATTGAATCAAACTAAACTAAAAACCAAAAACGTCCAAGTCATACCAGTCCGAAAATGCGGCCTGACCTCACCTTACCATATACACAACACCCGATGGGCGTTGTCATAATGACACGAGAGAGCTACGCTCCCTTGTTGTTATTATGACCACACCCATTGGGTATCTGCACATAATTAACAGTATGATATGGGGGTAAATGACTTGTACCATAGTTTTCAAAAATCATTCATATATAAGTCAGCTTAGGAATTGGTCAGACTGGTTCATGTGATTGAAGCATTAAGTTTTGTTTGTTTTGAACAAACATGTATTTTATTGACATGCAAAAGCATTAAGTCTTTGGTTTCATGATACATGCATTTTATATGATTTTACACTTTCTCGTGTCCCTCTGACCACGTCCATCGAGCATAGGGTTAGTGACTTCTAAACAATATATTTCAAAAATTCATTGTATGTTGTTTAATGTTCTTCTCGAGAATTTTTCGCTCATATGGAGACGCCACCACTTGCCAGTGGAGAGCTACAAATTTCATCGTATATTTGGCACTCAGGTTCATTGAACAATTATGAATCTTCTTCATGCCAACACCTTCTGCAACATTTTACCTAGGTTTATACGGTCTACACATCCCACAGTGGGGTTTGACTCCTTACTTGCTAACTCTAGGGCAGGTGCTCTAACCATGGGGGCGACTTAAAAATTAAATGTATCTAAATTTTAATTCCTTTTAGAAAGTTCTTCTGATTTATGTAATTGAAAATGTCACGAGTATGGTTTCAATGAGATATATATGTTGTTTTGGTATGATTTTCTCTCTCATAAATCAAATAATTTAGATTAATTAAGAACTTGGCTTAACTTAAGTTTTGTAAACCCAATATATATTTTGTCGTGCACAGTGGTATGTTGATTGAAATGTTTTTAGGGGTGGTGTATATTTCAATTTAATGAAAATTAGATCTTTGATTGGCTAAATCCACAATCCAAAAGTTTAAGTACACTTCAGAATCTGTTTTTTCTGTCATGTTTCCATTGTTGGTTATCAAAAGAAAGATAGATATGAATCTACTAAGCTAAGGTCACCCTAGTCATTACACTATTTAGTAAAAATGTTGAAAAAACTTGAGCGATTTCTGAAGTTTTTAATTTCATTTTTTAACTTAAGTTGAAGTATTAATGGTCATTTTTAATTGTTAATTATATCTGTATATCATAACACTGTATACAATGGATATGTTTTACTCCCCTGAATTTGGTATACATTAAAACAAGTCTGAATGATTGTTTTATTTAAAAATTGTGCATGATTTTTTAGTACTTTTGTCCTAGCTCGATGGGTGGAGTTATAGAAAAGTTTGGGTTATGTACAGAAAACCCACACTTTAAACAAAGAAATCTCACCTAACTATGGACCAAAATAATAGGTAAACTTTTCAATTTGGAATATAGAACAATATTTTGAACTGTAAATCCCCAAAGGAGTAGCAAAAAGAAATACTAATTGTTTTGTGGCATTTGTTTAAATCATCCTGGATATTTTGTTTTTAATTTTAATGGCACTATAACACTTTGTTGTTGTTCGTTTTAGGGAAATCTTTAAAAATTTTCTGTATTTATTTTTCCTGAGACAGTTATTAATGTACGAATTATGCAATGTACTGTACATTTATATTCATTATCATATAATCAATCATGTTTTCATATCTGTACATATATATACATGTATATAATGTTAATCATTATGTGATTTCTAGTAATATAAAAACTTAATTTGTAACATGTCTTGTATTTTTTTGCCTGGAAATCTTTTTACAGTCAGAACGCCAGTATGCTTGTTGTATACAGATTTAAGGTCCAACTACACATTTCTCAAAACTATATAATTTTTCCCAAGAATTTGCCATTGTAGGATAAGCACTTGAACAAGTTCCTTAAAAAAATTAGGGTACCTTACCAGGCATTTGGCCAAGATACCATAGGGTCTATTTTCAAATATAACCCCTTATGGATAATCTTCTAAATGGCGTATAACATAATTATGTTCCCCAAACAGAGTTTGGGAACATATTGTTTTTACTCGGTTTCTTCTTCTTATTTTTTTTATTTCTTTGATCTCTGGTCTCTTTTTGTCTGCGAGTGTTCACCCAACTGAGCTAAAACCTTTTTAGGGTTATTAGGTGTGTAGTGTAGGTGTGCGGAACGAACTTTCAAGGACATTTTGCGCGCATACGCATGCACCTGCGGGCGCGTGAAATGAGTGAAATGACGGATAAACTTTATATAGCCATATAACTTTAATATTTTTTCGATGAAATACTTTAAAACTCATTATAAAAGGATATATTAATAGTGTAGATAATGCGACACTGTCAAATTAGCACGAACTCACACGCATGCACGTGCACTTTGCTCTGATTGGCTGAAACAAAAATGTCTATATCTTTCCTGTTTTTTGATGAAATGCTATGAAATTTAAAATATAGGCATACTTTACGATGTACTACAATATGATATAACAATTGTCATGTAAACACACGATGCACATGCACTGCAATATGATTGGCTTAAACTTTAAATGGCTATAACTCCCTTGTTTTTCAACCAATCAGTATGGGATTTAGAACATAGACAGACATAATGGACTTCCACAAGGAAGTATGGTTGTCATGCACATGCGTGCACGTGTGGTTCGCTGTGATTAGCTGAAACAAAAATCGCAATATCTTTTTTTTAATTTTTGACCAAATGCTTTAAAATTTTAAACATAGTCATGCATTAGGATGTCCTACAATATGATATATAACAGTTGTCGTGAAAACATGTCTATACATGTGCGCTGCAATCTGATTGGCTTAAACTTGAAATGGCTATAACTTCCTTGTTTTTCAACCAAACAGGATTGGATTTAGAGCATAGACAAACAAAGCAGTCTCCTACAAGAAAATATGGTTGACATGCACGTGCGTGCACATGAAATGAGTAAAATTTCAAATACACTAGATTAAAATATATTTTTTGATATTTTTGGATAAAAGCTGTTATTTCTAGTACTAGTATATAAATAATGAAAACAAGATGATATGGTCATTATGCACATGCATTCAAATGCGCATGCGTGCAATGCATAACAGTGCTCCAAGTTGCGACTAAAACAGTCGTATTTGCGACCAAACAATTGATTTTGCGACTAGAAATAAAGACACACTTGCATTTTTCGCGACTGAGAAAATTTGGGCTGGAAACATCCAATTTTTAAGATCGAGATCGAGATTTCATTTGTAAAGATTCTCTATCAAGAAAATGTTTGAAGACAAATACTTAAATACACTTTACAAAGCGTTGCATGGACTTAGATCACGTAATGTTATGACAGATTGGCATCAAAAGGCACCAAAAAAGAGATGGGGGGCATTTGAATTTGGGAACATCTGTAATGGTTCCCGTTACAATTAGCACTAGTGTACTTATATTTAAAACATTTTAAAAACAACCCTATATTCAATCATGGCGGTTAAAAAACATGGAGAGCTGCAAAGGATGAGGTGACTTGCGACCCCTCGTATACTGACAAAAAATTAAATGTCTAAATTTTACTCAAATTTTTGTATGTAACTAATCACTGATGTGTGTACCTTTATAGAAAACTATTTTTAACAAAAATAGAAACGTAATTTGAAAGATATAGAACTTTTATTGGGGTAGGGGTATCATGTTTACATTCAATTCCCATTGCATTTTAACCCCGCCGCAATCTTTGAAGCCCTTAAAATATACGAGCACAGGTAGGTACAATTTTCTCCTTTGGCTGGTCACTGTATTTTATTGAAATCTACCTATACGTGAAAGGAGAAAATTGTACCTAACTGCGCTCACATGCTATTTTTTAAAAAATTGTAAAATCTAGTTGGCCTTTCCCATTATAAACAGATCGACGGAACTAGATTTTCTGACGTAAGAATGAATTCATATGCTAATCGAGGCACAGGCGATACTTTCTAACTGACCAATCAGCTAAATGAAATTCGTTACGAGTGAGTACCACAAAAATACTATGGAAACGTGCTT